GGGCCGTTGATACATAGCAGGGGGCCAGGTATATAATCAACAGGCCCACTTGTACCCCTTGTCCCCACTTCACAAGGAGGGACTCCACACCGTCTATCTGAGGTACAGTGGTCTCCCTTGGACATAGGCTCTCCCTTATAATGACCGCTACCCCACCGCCCCTACCCCGGGTCCTTGGCTGATGAAATACCTGGAAACCTGGCGGGCAGATGTCCACGAGGGGTACACCCCCTTCCGTGCCCAGCCAGGTCTCGGTGATCCCTGCCAGGTCCGCACCCCCCTCTTGAATAAGATCTTGAATGAGGGGGGCCTTGTTTACCACGGACCTGGCATTGCATAACATCAGCCGGTGACACAATGATCTTGTTCTTTTTAAAACATTTATGGAAACCAATTAATTGCTATTTTAGTTTAGACTGAATTAAGGGATAGCAACAACAAAATGGTTGCATGAAAAAGAGATGGACGACCATCTTACAATAGCTCATGTACTGCAAATATTACATTTAATAAAAGATGGGAAAGCATTTTGCATGACCCAAAGATGCTTTTTCATGAGGAACTGGACTTTTTTGTTTTGTTTTGTTTGTTTGGGACAACTATGACCTGGATGACTGAGAATCTCCATAGACATTTTGCATGCCATTTTGTTTGACTTGAGGCTCAGAATATTTCATCCATGCTACATACCTATCTATGCATATCAACCCTCTCAAACATCTTATCTCTCTGTCATGTTAGTACCAATCCCATCTTACTTGTTGAATATGGAAAAGTCAAACTTCCAACCCAGGCAGCGAATGGCACGGTCATAAGGTGCACGAGTGGCAAAGTTGTCTAATTCGTCCTGTGGAAGAGTGACAGATTCTGGGTCACTGCTATTGCTGTTCTCCAAGTAGAACCGGAGGGTGATACGCAGCTTTCCTTTTCTGTCTTTGATGAGAACTAAGTCTGCTAGATCACCTTCTATAAGTCCATCCAAAGACTTCAACTGATACGTATCCAAGAGCCCATTGTTTATTGCTCTAAGAAAGAAGGAAAGAAACAATAGGTGGGATGTCATGTGTTACTTTACATGCCATATTTAGAAAAATGGCTACCACTCATTGTAACAATTCTAGATTAAATGTAGAAGCACTCTGGCTAGGTATGAAGCAACTTCCTGTGTTGCTATTATGTTTTACATTAGTTTTAGTATTTTGATGGAGAAAACATTACTTTTGTTTTACTTCAAATTATTATATATTCTTTTGTAAATATACTAGGAAGACGATTAACAAGTATA